GTATAAAAGTGTGACATGATATTATACTTTGTGGAAAAACAACAAATAAGCTTCAGGAATGTTTAAATACTAAGCCTTACCACTTAAAAGTAGAAATTCTCTCTTTCTCTTTTTAAACTTTAACTTTAATCCTCTTGTTAACCTTAATTATCGATAGTCCTTGATAATCAGGCAAAACATGTATGTATCAAACATAGATTTCTCGTTTTATTTCTAACGTTGCGTATAATTTTTTTAAAGGTTTCTTTAAAATATTGTAGTGCATTTCTATCGTTCGAATAATGTTCTTTGTTGTACACGATTTTATATAAGGTGCGAAAAATTATCTACATCGATAGGGAAGAAAATTTTTTTTTTTTAATTTTTAAAATAACTTATTAAACTAGGCATTTAATATAACCATACGAGGTACACAAATATTATTGATACACTTCTCATTGTATTAATTAAGGCATGTACAGATAGCGGTACTTTTAACTAAGCACTCTTGAAAACAACAATGCTCCGTTTTGATAGCAAATATGCGTAAGATTAGAAATTCAAATGCTCTTTAATTTCCTGTTTTAAAAGGTTTTCAAGAAAGAAATGGAAATAAAAAAAAATCATCCCTGGGTGCAGATCGAACACACAACTTCCTGTTACTAGACAGTTGCCCTATCACTTGAGCTACCGAAGAACCGTGCATTCACTCGCACCGTAGGTTTAAATAAGTTTCCATTCTGAATTTCTTAAAGCTAGATTTTGATAGATATATTGACAAATAATTCTAATGCTTGTTAGCAAATTAGAAGTTAAAATTTTTCTCATTTACATTATTTCTTAAAAATTTCTTCAAAAAGAAAATTAAAGTGAATTTTAATTTTAATAAGTATATTTTTTATAGAAATAAAATTTATTAAGGGCATGGGTAGTTTCAAGACTGTTTACTTATAAGTGCCACCATCTACATATGCGCCAATTGATACGATAATTACATCGAAATATTGCTTATGTAACTCCTAAAGTTATATAGAATTTCTTATTTGTCAACAATACAACTTATTAATAAGTTGATGAAAATATAATTTTCGAAAATATTACATATTTTTATGATTTTGCAAGGTCTATTTTTATTTAATTAAAGCAATACTGTAAATGTTTCAGGAACAAATTATTAAAAATGCCTAATACAATTAAGAAAACTTAAACTTTTACTATTTCTTCAAAAAAAACATAACAAAGAGAATTACTGGATTTTTTAAGCGAGTGCAAGATAGTTAATTAAAAATTAACATGTTTAAATAAAAGAAAAAAAAAAGTTCATAAGTTGTGTATCATCATTCGTTATTTGTTTACTAGTTTAAGGGAACCAAGTCCCTTTTCATAGTAATTATAAAATTTTTTCGTACAAACATAAACGTTTGCTACATTAACAGCCAAAAATAATTATAAAAACTTTTCATAATAAAAGACTACGTTTTTGTTTCACAACCTCAAAGAAAAAGAAGTCACATCCATTGCAAATAATGCACAGACACAAGTAGCACAAACCACATATATCTACATAAACTTTAAATCGGAACACATAATCGAGACTTTAAACCTAATAATATTATCAACAGCAAGAAGATTCTGATCTATAAGAGCAAAGGAGTTCTACACCGTTCCTAATCTTGCAATCAGTATAAAAAATGAACAATTATTATAGCACGTATCCTCAACCACCTGGCACCTTAGATTGTAGTGAACAATTCTCGAAACAAAATAATCAGTCACGTAAGGGCAGTTCCATTAGATGCGCCATTTCGAAAACCAAACCAGGCAACAATCGTTGAGGTCATGACAAGATTTTACAGAACCAATTTTCAAAAAAAAGCAACGTAACTGTAATTATGATCAAAATATCCCGTAGGCCTTCTAATTTTTAATAACATAAAAATTTAGAAACCATGACTTATTTTTTTCACCTAGACCAAACGCTTCTCAAAGTTCAGCCAACGGTCAACAGAAACATGAAAATCATTTATAGATTCAACTGTATTTATAATTGTACTGTTTAAATTATGATCAAAAACGAATGCAATTTTATCTCTGAAAAAACGGATAACTTGACTTTTATCGATATTTAATAGAAGGTGATTATTGAGGATCCAAGTGTAAAATGAGTTGAAGTTTGATTGTTATTTAAAAGCATCAAAAGGAGATTCAATCGTGATATCTGCATTCATCCAAAAGTTTACAAAGCTCAGACATTGGTTAAGATGGATTGGTTAAGGTGGCACTACACTACCAGCCGACCATCAGAACTTTAATATTTTTGTAACTAATATTTTTGGTACTTGCAAGCAAAAAAAAAGCATGAAATGCGTTACGTCACGTGTCTTACCAGAAAATTTGTAGTGTTGACGACACCTGGAATTGAAATGCGAATTTTTTCAATTTTTTTGCAACATTGGGACAGTTCCGTAACCAATATTTTCCAGCATTTTAGAAAACTGAAAGAAATTGTATTCAAGATTTAGATGGGGTTTAAGTTGCAGGACGAAATATTACAAATTCAACATTTTAATAGGTTTTTAAAACAATTTTTTTCTTATTTTTTAACTTTACTACCATTTTTGAGAGCATTTTACAACAGGCTCTACAATGCTGTTTTACTGTGCGTACACATGCTATTGTTATTAATGTAGTGAAAAACAGCCTCACGTTTAACTGTCATATCAATCACTTACACAAGCAATGAAAACCTTATTTTATGTAGCTCCCAAAATACCATTGAAATTCAAACATGAGAAAAGAGATTCTTAGAAGTACGAGCCATGTAAGCAGAGACCGAGAGTCGAACTTGATGAACCTGGGTTACCAGGTACGCTAAACTATGAGATCTGGAGCCTTTACCAATGTACTACTGTGTCCCAAGGACATAAAATGTTACCACAAATGCATGCAATGGAAATTTGACATTCCAATTCGGACGTTTTGTATTTTACAGAGGTCCAGGATAATGCTTTGATATCAAACTTAGAACTCGCACACACTTCTATGGAAGAGATCTCTAATTATCCCAGTAATTGGCCTATATCATACAATTATTACGATAGTAGTTTTTACTGCTTCAAAGCTACGCTGCGTCCACCTTATAATTCTTTCGAAATAAAATTAGTCGTCAACAAGACAACGTCTGGATTACGTTGATGTCTTTAACGTTTTTATCAGTCAATTTAGAAAAATCATAGTAAGTACATTGAAAGATACTATTTGCTTGCCATACCATTTATTTATTGTCTGAGGTCTCTTTAAAAAGTGAATTAGAATAGTTAACTTAGCCTATAAGTCAGACAACCATTTTTGTCAGAAGCAAAAATTATTACTTACAATTATTTTGCAATCAATTTTAAGACATAGATTTTTGGTATAAAATGATGGTATAGTTGTATCATAAGTAACATAAATATCTAAGAAACGAATGGAAATAAAGAACCTTGTTTTACTTATTAGATGCAAGAAACATTACCACGATAGTATGCAATCTTCACAAACCGACTAAATGTGCAAGGTGATAGAGTTTTTTTTTTTAAGGTAAATTACTTAAAATTTGTAATTAAAACTTCTGTACTTATTTGTCAAAATCTTTTTAGATTTTACTCATTTTTAAGATACGCTGCGGTTACTTCTAATAGTTACTATTTTTTGGTACGTTTGATTGTGATTAACTTTAGGAGTTTTACATAGAGTTTTAATTTATTTTCCGAAATTTATACCTATCTTAATACTTATATGTGTTTCCTTTCAACTGTTCTAATTTAAAACGGTTAACATTTTCCTTTTTCCATGAAAACTCAAAAATTTTATATCAAAAGAATAATCATTAAATCAACCCAATAATATTCTTTAAAAAATGATAAAAACCTTAAAGCCTGCTTTAATAATTATTGAACTTAAAAAAATATGGAAAGGAATAAGAGGATCTTAACAATTAAACTTTCAAAAACGCACGTTAAAAGTCAGAGTAAACAGTTACATTAGATCATGTTGTATGCGGGGTATCAAGAGTCAGAGAATAAAATGAAAATTTTTCAACGCCTGAAAAAAATTAGATAATAAAATTGTCAATTCCAGGAGGGAAAGTATAGATGGAAGGAGCGAAGAAAAGGCAAAGAATATTTTAATGGCTACTAATGCATAGGAAGATAAATATTGCGTGATATAAACATCACACTAAATTACAATGTCTACAAAATCTTTTAAAAGAACTTAGTATCTCATGGACATGTAACTTTTCTTTATCAATAAGCAGCTTATTGCAATACATTTAGGCTTGATGTATCCCTCAAAGCATTAACTTTGTTCTTTTTTTGATTGTATTTAGTTAAATAAGTATAATAATTAAGATTGAAGAAAATTAGTAAAAGTTAGGTAGTTGGTAAGGTAGAGACTCTCGACGTCATACTGAATACTTTTACAAAAAGTATTCTGTTAAAAAGAGTAAATGAGGTCCTAAGACGAGTACCTAGATTCAAACGAACAAAAATGCGTCAGCCAAACTATACGTGCGTTTATTATTTGTATCCACAACTACGCTAAGGTGTGGAAAAAACTAAGTAGAGCCTAAGCCTATCCTTAACCTAAAACAGCACTCTTAGTGGAATGTTATCAAAATCTGTAATAAGGAATGAAATTTTCATCGTTTACTATTCAGTCATAATTATGCTTTGTACGTAACTACCTGAGACATAAAATAATTGACACTCGCGTTTATTTCTCATAGCGTCTATTTCTAAGCAATTCTGTAACGATATTTTGTAATTAAATTTTTGACCTATAAAATGTGTTGCCTTTGTGTTTTTTTTGTGAATGAATTCTGCTTAATAAGGCTGGTAATCCCTTGACCAGCTGAAAATTTCATTTTGTTAAAATAGGTGTTAGCTTATTTACCTTGGATTTTAGTGATGAATAATGAACAGTTTTGTGTTAAAAACTTTAAATGTTTTTAAACATTTTAAATACTTTAAATATTTTACCATTTATTCTTATTGTTTTCTTCAGCAGCATGCATCCGATGTCTTGTTGTTTCATAAACATCATCATTAGCCTGTATTCGCATTTTACAAGGGAGCGCCCCTAAGCTTTCTAGATTCCTGGAAAGAATTATTTAAAGGTTAATACATTTTATTTTTATATCATAACAGAATATTAGGCAATAACTGTACGAACAAATACATCAAATATAAATTTCTTGGACGAAAATTAACTTAAAAATTTACAAAACAACTCAGACAAAATGTTGTCAGCACACAAAACTGTTACAGTTGTATTTTAAAATACAAAAATTTAGGTTAGAATCAAGACTTAAACAAAAACAATTTGGTATTGCATTAATATACAATAATAAACAAGATTTTATCGATTATTACAAATTTATTTGATACTCCATTGTACAAGCTTATTACTAACAATTTTGAGAAACGAACAATGCTTAAGCGACCACAAAGCTACTTAGTTTGCAAGTCAATAATTCGATTAATTTATACGTCGAACCTTATCAGCAACTATTTTCAGTAATATTGTTGTTCGTTAAAATCCTACACTTGTTTTGTTCATGCAACTGTATTTACTTTTAAATATTAGACATTAATTGTCACTTTTCCAAATCACTTTTGAATAAAATTAAAACGCTGGTCCCCTACTATAAACAGCACTAAACTAACAATTAAACTGTTGAGTGATAAAATCATAATAAGTTAGCAAACACAATCAGTAATCAAGCATCGCATTAAAAAATTTCGAAAACTTACTTCTTGATTATTGCATGCATTATTCTTAGCTAACAATACGATTTCCTTCAAAATGTGAAATGTGAATATAACTAAGAATGTAACTTAAAGTAATTCATGTAATTGAATGTTTAATAATGATAATAGTATACGAGCCATAATGAAACATAATAAAATAATAATAGTATACAAGCCAAACCTGGAAATTTTTACTTTTTCAATCCCTGACAAATTCTACATTAAATCTATTCTTCATAATTATCAAAGTGTGTACTTATTTCCTAGGTATAACTCTAAGAGAAAAACGTATTATATATTATGCAGTTTTCATAATTATATTAGAAAACAGAGAAAAAAAAAAAAAACGCTCGACTGAAAATGCCTTACTTAAAAATTTCTTACTTACGTGTATTATAATTTACGAGCATAGATGCAAATAAATTAAAACTTCAAGAGTCAACCGTTAGAGTATTTCAAAAACTTATTATGTATACTGTGCTACACTCGAAAAAATGGTATAGGCTTAATAAAATATCTCTACAATTTTACTAAACAAAGTTTATTTTGATATTTTTGTGTGGCCATGTATTGGAGACGGAGCCTTTCTGAAATCACAAGAAACTTAAGATTTCACTACAAACAAAACCAGTGGACAGTGGGTGCTTGGGTACCCAAGTAAGAAGTTATACTTCTATAAAATTATATGGCAAATAATATAATTACAAATATAAGTATACCTCGTATGAAACGATGTTACGTACAAAGGTGGTGCCATCATCATTGGAATGAGTATACCTGCGTTAGTTGGGTGTGGTTTCAATAAATATTTTAATATCTTATAACAGAACAATTATAAACAATATTTTATGGCAGAATACAATATAAACAATATGGCAGCTGGCCAGTACAAGACTATGCTCTTCATCGAATCTTCCGATGGCTTCAAAAAACTTCCTAAGAAAATAAGAAATACCCTTACAAAATAGCAAGTCGCTCAACTGTACCTTTTTTTACATGTTTAATTTAAAGAATTTTTAACTTAACATCTAATCTTATGGAAAAATCACTTTGAATTGAATTAATAAGATTTACATAAAGCTGTCATATAGTTACTATTTTTTGGTACGTTTGATTGTGATTAACTTTAGGAGTTTTACATAGAGTTTTAATTTATTTTCCGAAATTTATACCTATCTTAATACTTATATGTGTTTCCTTTCAACTGTTCTAATTTAAAACGGTTAACATTTTCCTTTTTCCATGAAAACTCAAAAATTTTATATCAAAAGAATAATCATTAAATCAACCCAATAATATTCTTTAAAAAATGATAAAAACCTTAAAGCCTGCTTTAATAATTATTGAACTTAAAAAAATATGGAAAGGAATAAGAGGATCTTAACAATTAAACTTTCAAAAACGCACGTTAAAAGTCAGAGTAAACAGTTACATTAGATCATGTTGTATGCGGGGTATCAAGAGTCAGAGAATAAAATGAAAATTTTTCAACGCCTGAAAAAAATTAGATAATAAAATTGTCAATTCCAGGAGGGAAAGTATAGATGGAAGGAGCGAAGAAAAGGCAAAGAATATTTTAATGGCTACTAATGCATAGGAAGATAAATATTGCGTGATATAAACATCACACTAAATTACAATGTCTACAAAATCTTTTAAAAGAACTTAGTATCTCATGGACATGTAACTTTTCTTTATCAATAAGCAGCTTATTGCAATACATTTAGGCTTGATGTATCCCTCAAAGCATTAACTTTGTTCTTTTTTTGATTGTATTTAGTTAAATAAGTATAATAATTAAGATTGAAGAAAATTAGTAAAAGTTAGGTAGTTGGTAAGGTAGAGACTCTCGACGTCATACTGAATACTTTTACAAAAAGTATTCTGTTAAAAAGAGTAAATGAGNAAATTACAAAACTAACATACATATAGTTAATAATCGATTGTATTAAGTGTTAATAAAAATCGGACAAGGTAAAATTAAGTCGATGAAATTTATGAAAAATACATAATTTATATCTGCTCTAAGCTTTTTAGTAACATAAATAAATCAACATAAACTCATAAAGGAGCTAATATAACTAAAGTATGATTGAAAAAAAAATATTCTAACTAATTATTTCGATTTAATTCGAGAAGGTCTTCCACCTAACAGAATAAATTTGAAAAGTAATATTGCAAAAATGATAAAAATTCATGCATTTCAGAGTAACTACGCAATAGAAAAAGATTTTAAACAACCAAATTATTAAAAATTATTGTTAAGACTAATGTAATAACTGGTATTAGTTTAGAAACAAAGTTTTTTTTCGAAGAACAGCGTCAAATATAGGTATTACATTTTATTAACCTTTTATGTTGTATAGAGAACATTTTTCTCGTGTAGTAGCTTTTTCTAGGGTTATTTATAAGTCGCAGGTAAAAAGATCTTATAAATTATATTTTATTCAAAGAAACTAGTATTTAAGCAAAGTCAGTTATGTATTACGATGTTAAGGTATAAAAATCTTAAAAACATTTTTATAAATGACAAAGTAAACGGTTCTTAAGTAATAAGAAAATAAGTGTGAGACAAAATTTTAGATGTTAAAAGTAGACGAAGACCATCTTAAATTTCTGAATAATAACAATTTTAGTTTATTGGATTATAGATAAGGGTGGGGTGGTATAGGGGATAATAGGCTAATAAAGAACGCTTCTATGCAGCCCCACATAAAACACTTATATAATATGAGCAGATATTAGTGGGGCTCTGCCACCTGCGCGTTTGGCATGCAAAACCTTTTTTCAACGGAAACTAAAAGTAATAGAACAAAGCATCATTCGAAGCTGGCTGTTTTTTTATAGTTCTGACTATTACTATTTGACAATTTCTGACATTTTAAAATTATACATTTGTATTCGTTTTACGGATAAAAAATTTTCAAAGTAACAATAAAAAATAGAAAAAGGATAAATTAAATATATAGAGGAAAGAGACTATGTTTTTGTAGAAAAAGGAAATTCTTTAAAATTTTTAAAAACAAGGAAAAAATATGTTTGCTCAAACGCTTTCGCAAAAACATGCATTATTAAAAAAAATTGTCAATCGTAAACGTCATTTTTTTTACTCAATTGTAACACTGAGAGAGAATATCATGGATTTTTTTTTCCTTTTTTTCGTAGTCACATAATGTTCTAAGATCACCTTTTAAACGTGCTCGTATACTTCCTCTTTTTCTTCAACAAAAGTTTATAAGCTAATGGTACTCCATCTGTGTAAGTGTCTGTAGTTCTGACTTTAAATACAGCACTCAAAATAGCGAATAGTTAGAAAAAAAGATAAAACATACTTAAACGTAGCATCCCTAAGTGGAACATTACTTTTAAACTAATTTTTTAATTTATCCGGCAACCATCAGCTAATTAGTCATACAGTAGAAAACTTTTTCCAGATAAGCTATTTTAATACTCTTTTAACAAACATACATTCAAAGCTTAACATTACTAACGTTTCTCAAAGCGGTACGTATGATATGAGCTGGAGGTACTTCCGGATGCCCCTCGGCTTGTCATTTTATATTACTAATAATTTTTATAGCCACTACTTTTTATGGATCCAGAGCATGATTGTGGTCATTTTTCTTTGCAATTTTAATTTTTTTTGTTCCACCAACTGTCACTCATCAGGCGCCACATTCAGGCATTCACCGGCACTTCCAAGTAGACTCTCTCACTAATTTTCTTCTGCATTTTTTCGGTACAAATAACTGTCTACATTAAGCAAAAACGTATGTCCTCCACTTAAAGGCTGAATAATTCTGCTACTATTTTGTAATCAACAGTGATTTTACCCAATGAGCTGGCTAGGTGTTGGCTTTCCTTTAAAAAGGAAGCCCTTAGAGGTCCAAAGTTCTTAAAGAAAATTGACTATTGGTTTTAAAAAGTGGATAAGTGGTTTTTCGACAACCTAAGTGCTTATCTCATTGACAAAGCCCGAGAAACAAATCTCGATAATTTTCGATGGGATTCAAACCCACGATTCTTCAAGTTCGTTCTACTAAAAGGCTAACAAGCTAATGACCAAGCGATCAAAACTCCTAAAAAGGTTTCATATTTGTACTTATAAGTTAGAAAATATAATCAGTTTTCTATACATACTCTCCTAATGGCCAAATCAAGTGTTTTTTCAGGCTAACATAACGGTCACAAGTGCACATTTAGATTTTGCTAATGCATTTTAATATTCGTGTAGTGAAATTTTTTCCCCTGTAAATATGTCTTTTTAAGTATCCCATCATATTCCGTGGTGGCTACTTAAATATAAAAATTTTTTAAGATTTGATATTATATTTATAAAAAATTTA